ATTATCATTACACTTTTGTAAATTTTATCATTAAATTCAAAATAAAACGTTAACATAACAATCAGTAACTCTTTAAGGCTAATATATTACATATTAAATATAAAAACGGTCTTTCAATCTCTAATATTTTTTGCCAAAAATTTGGTAAAATTTTTTAAAAATTTTTAACATTTCTCTCCACTTTCTTTAAAAATATATATATATATATATAGATCATCACATTTGTAGTGATTAAAATTAGTATAAAATATTCATTTTAATTACTAATATTTATTTTTTTGGTCAAATATTAAAAAAATTAACTTCTAACTTATACTTTTTTGTTAATTCAAATCTATTTATTTTAGTTTATCATTTGCTATTTAAATTTTTGATATGTTTCTAAATTATTATATATTTTTTTAGATAGGTTTTATTATATATTTTTTCAAATATGTTTTATTATTTTTTTTCACAAATACAACTATATAACTATTTACTAATCACTAAGAAATTTTAAAGACTAAATATTTCACATTTAATTTGACTAAATTTAATTTTAGACACAAGTTTAGAGTTTTAGAATTATGTCACTCCCTTTGGTCTTTTTTACATATCCAATTTTATTAACTTTGTATTAATTAACTTAATAATTTTATAAAAACAAACTAATGAAAACTGAAAACAAAATTTTATCTAATTGAAAATATTTAATAGTAACTATATTCAAGAAGAAAAAAAATTTTAATTATCATCTATTTACCAAATAAAATCAAGTCAAAATTTATGTAAAAATTAAATTAGCACAACTAAAATGGTTCAAAAAAACAATACTTTAAATAAAAATTTAATTTAATTATCAACAAATTTGCTCTCCCTCATCTCAAATTCTAACTCCACTACTTTTGCCAACAATATTCTATCCTTACAAAACTCTAGAGAGAGAAAATTATAGTAAATAGAAGTACCCATAAGAAAGTTCTTTTACCTTTGTGAAGTGTGTGGGTATTTATAAATTCCTTGAGAGTGTCTTATACTTTTGTTTATCCTAATTATCCCTTTAAAAGTGTGTTTTATATAGTGGTTTAAAGGTAGTAATTAGTAATTTTATCTAAATTATTAAGAATAAATGTTTAATAAATTTATTTATTTTGAAACCGTTATAAACTAAGAATTTGATAAAATTTTTTATTTAGTAGTTTGAACTAGCAAATAACAGTTAGAATTCAAACTGTTAGTGAACTAAGAAGTTATCTTATACCAAACTGCTAGTAGATTGGAATTTTTTAATTTTACTAACAAATTTATCATTTTTAATTTTTAAAATTTTTGGCTATGGTTTTTAATTAGTACTTATATAATTTGTTTCAATTTTATTTTTTGTTTTTAATAATATTGAGTAATTACTATATTTTTATTTTTACATTAATTTATCATAAAAATATATTAGCTTAATAAAAAAAATTTACTAATTAGACAAAAAGATTAAAATTTTTTGTACTTTATTTAAAACTAGAATAATTTTTTCTTTATTAAAAATAAAAATTAATGTATAATTGCACTATTGTAATTTGTTTATTTATTTATCATTATTATTTTTTTAAAAAAATAAATAATTTTAATAATAAAAAATATTAAAAAAATATACTTAATTATTTTTAAACATGTTCTTATCAGTTATTTAATTTTAAATAACAACTACTAGTTATTGTATAACTAAATAATTATATTAATTGAATCTATTATCTACTATTCATAATTAGTTATTCTCTATTTGTTATTTACTATTCACCTTCCTTTATTTGCCCTCCACTACTTATTAACTGCTATCTACTATCCATTAATTACCATTTAGTATCCATTACTACTATCCATTATTCATGACTTATTATTCCCTACTTATTACTCATTATCTATTACTTGTACTCATTATTTACTATTCACTAACTTTTAACTATTATACAAATAAGGCCTAAACCCACCTAAGTGCATGTGAAGTTAGCTGCACATGCACATGCTTGTTTATATTTGATTCTCATTTACCTTTATTACATTTATGAACTTGTTGAATTACTATTTTGACAACAACCACGAGCCCACACTTGGCTCTTGTGGCTCAATGACTAGTGTCATTGAAAAAGTGCATATCTCCCTCCTCTTAATGGGTTTCGAACCCGTTCCATTTGTGGCTCAATGACTAGTGTCATTGAAAAAGTGCATATCCCCCTCCCCTTAATGGGTTTCGAACCCGTTCCATGATAAAAAGTTCAAAAAAAAAAAAAAACAACCATGGGCCCAAGTGCATACGACGAGGAAGATGAGAATGGAGTATTGAAAAGCCATGAACAAAATTTCTTTGGAATGAAAAATTGAGCGTCAGCAAGCAACAGAGGTATACTTTTCAACATTCATCAATTCCAAAGATGCGAGAGGAATGGCTTGGACAAGAAAACCAAAAAAAAAAAAAAAAAGGGAAAAATTGGGAGGTTAAATGCTTAATTTGGTCCCTCAATTTTAAGAAATGAACATTTTTGATCCCTTAACAATTTTTTGCACTTTTTTGATCCCTCAACTATACGAAATGCACTCCGTTAGTCCCTCTGTTAATTTGAGCCGTTAACTCTGATTAGGTGGCATTTTTTATATTTTTTTTGATGATGTGGAGAGTAAAACTTCAAAAAGTAATGACATGGATAAAATTTTGCCATGTCACATGCCACCTGACGAAAACACACTAAATCCATCTAAATGGGTCCCACGTTACCACTAACAATTGCATCTTTGCCCATCGGAAGTTCGACCATCGGAAGTTCGACGGAACCCAACAAATCTGGGTTCGATATAATCCAGCAAATAAGTTCTATCGAACCCAGTTCAATTCACTGAACTCAATTGTCCAAAAATCACTCACAACAACCTGCAATTTGAATAATCTCTTGGCAAAAAAAAAAAAAAAAAGTGGAGCTGGGTTCTGGGTTCGGTGGAACCCAGGGCTAGTTCGATGGAACCCAGCTCTGGGTTCAATAACCCGAGGAAGAAGAGGAAGAGGAAGAGGAAGAAGAAGAAGAAGAAGAAGAAAGAAGAGGAAGAAAAAAAAGAAAAAGAGAAAGGAAGAAGGTTAACGAATTATTTTATTTTATTTTTTAAAAATATAAATAGTAATAATTGAGTTGGCATAAAAAAAATTCCACGTCTAATATATTTTCAATTTGTTTTTGCCACGTCATCAAAAAAAAATTCCACGTCTAACATGTTTTCGATTTGTTTTTGCCACGTCATCAAAAAAATTATAAAAAATGCCACATAAGCGAGTTAACTATCAAAATTAACAGAAGGACTAACGAAGTGCATTTCGTATAGTTGAGGGATCAAAAAAGTTCAAAAAATTGTTAAGGGACCAAAAATGTGCAACTCACTAAAGTTGAGGGACCAAATCTAGCATTTAACCAAATTGGGAAAGGATAGATATTAATGATGATGGGAATGGTTGACTGCTAGTCAATGGTAGACGCATTGCAGTAGGTATGGTACTGTTCCTCATTTCATTTAAATGGTGTTGGGCCTTGACACATTCATGTGTACGGTACTCCGTCATATTTTCTGCCATGCAGGCCCAACACGGCTACACCATTTAGGACAAAACTATGTGCTAAGCCCACTAACTGACCCCATTTTTGCACACAAGTTCTTAAATTATTTTTATTCTTTTAACTTATAAGCCTTTAAACTCTACAATTTGAGCATTAACACCTTCTTAACGGTTGCCCTGAGTTCTCATGATTTCCTTGATTGAGAGTGTGATGTACACAATTTGGGGACGTTGAAGGGTACTTCTCTGGATTGGGAATAATGGTTGCAAAATGAAATTTTGGTAAGTCTAATTTAAAAAATTATTGAATTTAAAGCTTGAGCCAAAAGTTTTCAAAATTGGAAAGAGAAAATCTAATTTTGAAGTAAGATTTTAAAGTCTCTTTAGTTTTGCAAGTCTAGATTCTCATATCTCTCTTGATGATGGGATAATTTTTTTTTATTTTTGTTTTAAATTCTTTTTCTTAGAATAAGTTAAAGTTTAAGAACTATTTTTTTCTTTTAAAAACAATAAAACTCTTATATACTAAAATTGTAATTTATCCATTTTCTTTAGTTGTCACAACAAATAATCTAATAAAACTCTTACACAGAAGGCCAATGAGCTTAATTGCAGACTTCAGGGACCAGAAAAAAGTCCAAAAGCGATTGCGTCAAGTAAGGGAACTATAGGAACTTTATATACGATATTGTCCCCATTGGTGCAGAGAAGCTTCCACCAACTGGTTGATGCGGCCGGACCTTTTATATCTTGTAATAGCACGAATAACAATTGATATGCTGAACTTGTTATAGAGTTGCTTTTTTAATAAAATTTTAAAATTTTTATATTTAATGTTTGAAAAAATTTGGTGCAAATATTTATTTTTTTGTAAAATGGTATTAAAATAATAAATTTTACAAAATATAAGAATCTATTATTTTTTTAAAAATCTTATTATTTTAGTAATGTTTTACTTAAAAAAACACGGATTCTCATCAAAATATTTCAAATTCAAGACAAAAAAATTTTGAAATTGTTGCTAGAAAAACAATTCTAGGAGAAGTTCTGCCGCGTCAATGTGCTATGCTTCACGTAGCTGCCGACGTGGTCACCATTGAGTCTTCGACTTTGGCTTTCATGAATG